GTACCTGTTGTAGAAATCATTGATCCCAAGTCTAATCCCATTAAAAATAAAATGAGTATTTGGGTACCCGTAACCCTCAAAAAAGGGACAGGTATGGGTATTACCCAAATACTCATTTCCCGTTGCCCACACCTTCTTGTGCGGCTTTGTTCACCATCACTAACTCTTCTTCAACTGGTTTTCAACTTCAACTTCAACTTTCGGTTGTGTCGAACTACAAGCCTTTTCCTTTCTTCCCTTAGCTCCCTCTCACGAGCAAGTAGACAGAGAGTATGATTGATGTTGTCGTCTAGCACCACCAATTCCATCAGATTACTCCAGGTCATAGACCACATGCACACTCTCTAAACAACACAATCATGAGCCAAACAAGAGAACGCCAACACAAAATGAAAGAAAAGAAATGTTGGATTAAAGGTAGTTCACTTTTTTCGAATAACAAAAAGTTTTGCCCGCAACGGTTCCAAGAAAACTTGACTCGCGACCTATTACATACTCCCACCCTAGGCCAAGTATAATACTATAATGGGAGTAGTGTAGAGCAAGTATATGTTTGATTATCAACCCGAGCAGTTCGTCTACCCTTACTTCAGTAAACCAAAAGTTATGTAGCAATAAGAACGTTGTTTAAAACTATTAAACTAAGCAAACAAACAACTAAAATGATGTTGAATTCAAGTGAGAAGGCTTCACTCGGATCAAATGGTTATCCCCTAATCCCTTGTTAAGATGAGATTGTGACACTCTAGTACGATTGGAAAGTTCTATCTATCGCTAGGAGATCAAATGTAGTTAGGACCCCCCCCCCTATTTGAGTGCATCCTAACCCGCCTAGTCGCTCTAATCGGAGGGGCGTACCACACTACCACATTAGACAATAGGGAAATCAAATCCACTTCCTAGGGCATTGACTTAGAACGGCTTAAATACACCAATCACATTAATTCATGGCTCTCTACATTGATTTAATAGTGACCTAAATTGTCAAATGAGATGTTCTCTCTCTTAGGTCAATTTGCCCCAAAATTGAGGGATTTGATTAAGAACACTAAATTTGGATGAAAAATACTCAATCAGTATACATTTGACCATATCCATCATTACATAGAGTTCACAAAATCAATCTACAATATCGTAGACTAGGAATGACATCATCCAAGTGAAAAGAGAAACTACTACATAGCTATAAAAAGAACATAAACTAGAAAAGAGGAAAAACCTATGGGAACTTGATTCTTCTTCTTTTAGTTGCTTGGATGGATGCTTGGAGATAAAATCTGGCCTTCAAATGGCTTTGGTAGGTCAAATCCACCTTCAATTCTCTCTTGTTCATAGCTTTCTCTCTCTAGGTTGTGGAAGAAGAAACCCAATCTCACTCTAAACCCTCTCCTTTTGAAAATCTTCTCCCTCTCCTTTATATAGCTCGACAATGCACGTGTCACGGTTGCACGTCATGCCCGTGTAGAGGCAATGAAATTGTGATCTCAACACAAAACAAGTCGTTTCATTAACACGCTTCACAGTCTCTCTGCTGACTTCACGGTTTGGAACTGTATTCCTTGCAATGCCCATGCGATGTCTGAAAGCTTCTGAAAACTTTCGATCTTCACAACCTCCTTGTCATCTTCACCTCCAAACCATGACATGTGCACTTTTCATAATTTTTCTCCCTTTTCGATCGCTTTCGTCCAACTTTCGATTCTTTCACCCATTTCACCTGCTATAGCTAAAACATGCTAAAATATTCCAAAACCAATCGTAAAATGGCTCCAAGGATGATGCTAAACAAGTCAAACAACCAAGTAAATGAGGTAATAACCTGTTTAGCATGGCTCGAATCAATTGAATCGGGTTGAATAAATAAATTTAAAAAGCTCATCAAATTGTGACAAGACCAAATCAATGTAGATTAAGTTTGGTTTTGGCTCCATTGTGGTCAACATTTTTTTATTTAATGAACTGTTTTTCGGAGAGAAAACTTTTGGTGTTTGAACTCAATGAATACGCCTTGACTTCTTGAACAACGATGAATTACACAGTTCACACCTCTCTGATTAATTTCGAACGAGGGTGATTTTGATGGATGAGAAAACTAAGTTATATTACTCCAGTCCTATGATGGTTCAGGGAGAGCTCTAGAAACTAGTAAAAGCTATTACTACATTGCTGAGAAACGATAAAGTCTTTTTCCCACCAAGGCTCCGCACTTAGTCATAGTGAGCTCGTCATGGTGCGAGCTTGTCATCTCGGTATCAAGCCATCTTGTTTGCTTGATCTAATTGGCTTGATACCTTGGCCGACCCACCACCACCCCCAAGATTCTATAGTTAGTCTTGAGATCTAGGATTATCCATGATAGCTTGGTACCCCTTCGGGTGGCCACCTCACATTGTCTCCCGATTTACTTTTCCAAAGCTCGTCAATTTGGTCTCTTGGTGGCCTACAGGCCTCATTGTCAACTTCTCAGCAGCTACTATCGAGGCTATGAGGGCAGTTAGCTACCTAGGGCAAGGAGAGGGGCTCAACCACTTAGGTCCAAATACCAACCCAATGTGGCCCCTCTAACTCATTTATGCCCAGTTTCGGAAGGAGAGAAAAGGGAAGAAAGGAAAAGAAAGGGAGGAAAACGCTACTTTTGAGGAGTTTTCCCCTGTTCTCTAAATAAGTAACAGTGTGGAGGGGAGGAAAAGCAAGGGACAGAATACTATTTTACTAGCTCTCTATTTTGGGCGGAAAACACTCATCTTCCCCGCATTCCTTTTTTTTTTTTTTACTCTACAAGTTGTAGGATTGTTATATCATATAATATTAGGTGGAACAAATGTTACAAAGTGTCTTTTCTATTGTTTTTTTTTTCAACCTAAAATTAAGGTGGTGGGTAAGAACTAAGATTAATAAGAGATAATTATTTAGGAAGAATTTTTTTAGCAAAGTTTGTGAAATTTTTTGGGTTATTTTTATTGGACAAGTTAATGAAATGATGTTTCATCAGGATGTTATCATGTAAATCAGGATTGTAGTATTGCTAAAGTCAGTTGACATTATCCAGTTAGATAAGCGGCGACATCCAAGCTCTGCCGACCCAAACCCCACAAACTCGCTCTCTAATTGACGACCAAACGATTTCCTGAACACTTGTGATTCATATCAGAACCCAACTCCGGCCGCCACCATGTTCTAATGGGTATCATATCATAGTAATACCGTTATTAACGCAACATAATAGAACATATTAAACTTGCACTATATTGGCATAATACTGCAAAATTACTTTAACAGTGAACAAAATTAGCAAAAAAAAATTAATTCAAAATTCGTAAGCAGTGAAAATAATATCAATATGTAATCAAATTATTATACTATTATATACCTAATAAAATAACTTATTCATCACAATTCCCAATACATATTTTCCTTCCCACTTTCCTCTATAAAACACAATTTTCCTTCCCATTTCCTTAACCTCCAAATTGTCCCTCCCTCCTAATTCCCTTCCCCTCTCCTCCATTTTCTAGTTTCTACCTTTCCTTCCGAAACATAGGGTTAATGTTTAATGTTGAGATGTCCTTATAAAACCATTATATTTTATAATTAATCAATGTGATGCGATTAATTCTACCGAACCATACCCACACGGCCACACCAACATTGACGGTCAGTAACATGAATACCTCTCTAAACTTGTATTTGTTAAACGCAATGAAATACAAAATACAAAGTTTATTCCATTATCAAAACAAACGTAAATACATTCTAACTTGCCTACAAGCTCGGTAACAACCTGATCTACGTTGAGCCAACTCAGATTACATACTTGACTCCCTCAATGTTGAAAACAAAGACTTGCTACTTGCTAACATTCTGCACCAGGACTTATTTGACATTAATATAAAACAACGGGTACTAAATGGAACTAAACTAAAATAGCACACTTTGAGCATTCAAACTTGATTTCTTCTTTGACACCAATTCGTTTTCAGCTCCCCGGGTTCGACGGTTTAGGATAGGGTCAGTAACTATTGGTTACTGATCTATGAGTAACTAAATCTGGACCTTTAGATCTAAGTGGATCTAGAAAATTCAGATATAAGGGTTGTCAATTAAAGACATTTTATTTTCCCTATTTTCTTAATCGGCTCTTATATTCTTCGTTCTAACTCGGATTTCAATTATTATTTTTTTTTTGCACAGATGGAACGCGTTCGTTGTGCTCTACAAAATGAGATCAATTTTCAATATATTTCGAGAAACTTTTTTTTTTACCAACTACATACCATATGGTAACTTCTTCGTTTTTAAGTCGTTTTTGAAAACGTTTACTCAGAAGGAACGAGTTCATCATAATCTATTGTATCTATAAATTTCTGGGTGAAAAAAATACTATATAAAAAATTATCATACTTTACCACTATGGTTGTGGGTGGTAACTTGTAGTAAACAATGATGAAAGTCGTAAATGATAGTTTATATACTCCTACTATCATGTATTCAACCTTCTTACCATATTGGTATATTCATATTTGTATGTTCAACCCTCTTACCATATGGTATTAAATAGTAACATACCATATGGTAATGACTGGTAAAAAAATTATTCAAATTTTTTTTTACTAAAAATATATCAAATTGGATATCATTTTAAAGAGCACATTTAATCTAATTTATCTGTGCAAAAAAAAATTAAATTTCGACTTAAAACTAGAGAGTAATCGTCCATTAAAGATTAAAGAGGAATAGATAAAAGACTTTCCAAAAGAGAGAGTATACCAATATCATGCTGATGTGGACACGTTACTCATGACTACTGATTATAGGATTACTGACCTTATCTATTCCCGGGTGACACTCGACTTCAACAGTATTCACTTCTCTATTCTTTTCCCTGTCTCTTTCCTTTGGAGCATGCAATTAATTTCAACTTAGTAGTTCAATTTCTGTCTTATAAACGTACATGGCCGTCTTGAGTACGTGTTTCTTCGTACCAGAAAACAAGAGCACTCTTCATCACAAGACTAAATCATACTCTTTTAACAAATTCCAAAGGCAGAAATCGAAGGGAAAAACTACCAGAAAAAAGGCCAAATCCTCCGGTCACCATAAACCGACAAAAGATGGCCTAGTACTATCAACACTATCTTTCCAAGTATTCATTCAAAGGAAACCACTAGTACTATAACTGCCATCCAAAAGGCAAAAGCCATCCATTCTAACAAGGTTACTACTTACTGCTACCATCCCAACTTCTGCTCGAGAAGCTTCCAACTAGAGTTGGACTCAGCTAGTTTTTCCTGAGCTCTCATCCTGCGCTGCACTGCTTCTTCGCTTTCTCCACGCTGCTTTTGCAACTCTTCTAGTAAATTGGAAGCATCTTGGTTGGCCTTCTCCAGTTCCACCGTAATTGAATTTCTTTCCTCTATAACTTTTCTCTTGTGGGCAGATAACTGCTGAATTTCAGCCTCAAGCTTCATGCCTTCTTTCCCAAGTCTATAAGCTTCAGCCACCAAATTGCTCAACAACATCTTGGAAAGAATCTTCCTTACCTCCAGACCTTTTGTCAGTTGGGCCACCGATGATTCGATTAAATTGCTTCTCTCAATAGCGGCTAGGGAGCTAGGAACGACCTCTTTAAACTCACCCATGCGTTCGACCAGCTCTTTCAGTACTGCCTTCTCACGTGGATCAGTTGCAGCATGCTCAGCTACTTGGCGGGCAATGTTCTCAACATGATCGAGCGATTCGGTTTGGGCCATGGTCTCAACTGACATACTTAGGAATCCAACCAATTTCTTCCTCTGCTGTTGCAGCAAAACCGAACCATGGTCTGGGTTTGAAGAAGGGTTGGCACTGAGAGTCATTGATGATAGTTCTGCTATCAGGTTTCTTGAGGCCAATTCCGCACTTGACAGAGAGAATGGATTGCTAGTGTCTCCAACACTGGGCTCAGCAGCAGCTTCTGATGCTGCCGCTTCCTGCAGGTAGGTGAGACGCGTTCATTAAACATCTAGGGATGCAGAGGAAGTATATATACATCGATCGATATTCGAGATTTCGAGTAAAGGGGGCGGGAGACTTAACAGTACAAACTGCAGCTTCAATAAGGAGGGTATCACCAACGAGGAGCCCTTTGCGTGGATCTTGAAGGTCGGCCTTGGACACAAAACAGAATCCCCAGGAGGTACCATTATCTTTACTGAGATCAGTTCCGGAATCTGTTCCGCAGGCAATGTAGGCAATGTAAAACCAATATTCCAACTTCTAAACAAGAAAGAACAAAATAGAACTAAGGAACTGTTAGACGGCCATTGATGAAAGCATATATAAGCAGGAGATCAACATAGTTAGTTAAGTACACTTTCGCACAGAGAAGGTGGCATTGAGTTGGTCGACCAGAGTCAAGCTGATGAAAACTGGTACTTTCCATCCGTTAGGCATCGTTTGCCAATCAGGGAAATCCAAATATACTGACAGATAATCAGGATAACCAACGCTTCCATTTGGGTATACGAGAATCCTCCTGCATAAATCGATAAACAAATATAACAGACTGCGAACCGAATTGAACCGGAAACAAGGGTTTTAGAAGAATGATTGATTAGGGTTTTGCAGATACTAAACTATGTTAGCTTGGAACGAACTAGGGTTTTGTTATATTCAGAAAGCTCATGATCATCAGTTACCATCTGTAGCCCCCGGCCAGGAACGTGTCGGAGTAGACCTTGGCTTCTTTCAGCTTTGAGAAATTCTCAATCTTCCATGTAAATTCCGTGGTGCTCATCTTCATCACCGCCCGATCTTTCGTCGCCATTTCTACCAGCAGTTTCTAAGCAAATGAACAGCCCTTTTTAGATACCGTCACGCGTCGAACAAAACAAAGTGATAATCGAAAACCTAATGGATGTTCTTTTACCGGCTAAAATACTTTGGTACCACTTAAGTTTGAGAATTGGATCAGATATACTACTTAAATTTGAATCGAACATCGAATACTGTTAAAGTTCCTAAAAATTGTATCCGTCTAGTTTCCTGTCCAACCCAAAATTTTCATTGCCTTTTGGTACAAAAAAATTTTAATAGCATAAAAAATTATATTTCAACAAGTATTATTTAATATAAAAATTACAAGGAGATTCAACACTATGTGAGAGAACTAAATATAATATCCTCAAATTATTTATCGAGTTAAAGTTCATAGGATATATTTGATTCATGGAGTAATTCAATTATTAAAACACATAATGATAATTGAAAATACTTATAATGGTAATTGATTATAAATTTCAGATTCAAATATTGTTCGGTACCAGAGTCTTCAAAAGAATATTTCAACTAAACAATAAAAAAATTATGTTTTTCATAAGTCCAAGGAAATTTTTACAATAAGAAGAAGCAGAAGGATCATTTCTGAAATTTAGAAAACGGAAGATTCCAAGAATATTCTGTCAAGTTTAACGGGATGCACATAGCAGTAAACTTAAGTGGTACGGGGTGCCCATATAATAGAGTTCAGTGGTACCCGACGTCCTATTCAAAGTTAATTGGTATAGCTCCCCCAATTCTCATACTTTACTGCAATGACACTACAAGAATCTTCACTTTTTGCGACGAAAAAATTCGTCGCAAAAAATTGTAAATTCGTCGCAGAAAGATTTCTGCGACGAATTATGTCGTCGCAAAAGGAAAAAACACTTCGTCGCCTATACAGCGTCGCAAAAAGTTCTGCGACGGAAATAAGTGGTTCGCCGCAGAAAAGTACAACTTCGTCGCTGAAAGTCGGGAATTCTGCGACGGACATGTCGTCGCAAAATGATCATTTGGCAACGACAACGTCTTCGTCGCAGAAAACTTAACTATTTAGCAACGAAATCATCCGTCGAAGAAGGTCAAAACATTTTTTACGGAGATTGTATTTTTTGTTTTTATTTCTTTATTTGTAATTTGCATAAATTGAATTTCCATATCAGTTTAGTATAAGTCCCATTTTAATTTTTAATTCAATCCCTGAGTGGTTCATTCATGAGTCTAAACATACATCCCAGTTCAGTACGAGGTCGTCGGTTTCCTTGTTGCCTCAATCTCCGGCGGTGGCCCGTCCATCGCTGAACACATCCATCTCTCTTTCTACTCTATCGAAACCACAAAAAAGAAAAAAACATGCATTAGATCTGTAACCAAAACCAGAAACACCAACACAAAACTAAAAATAGATGGAACCACACCAGATCTGTGTCTTTCTGGACAGTTTGAGGTGGTCCGGCGATGCTCCATTCCTCGCCGCCGCCGAGATCTATCTCCCTTCCTCTCGATCGAACCCACAGAAAAGGGAAAAAACAAGCGATAATGATGCAGTAGTGTGAGAAGAATTAAATAATAAAGGCAAAATACATTTCCATTGCCATAATTTTTATGTTTGTGACAGCTATAGTCACAACTTTCGAATACACAAAATAGCTAGAATTTTTATGGTGGTTTGACAAATCTAGTCATTTCTGTTACAAACTTTAACGGTGTTAAAGATTCCATCAGTTAAGTTAACGACACGCTGACTACGATACCAAATTGATGCGCACGTCAGCTTTACTTGTCACGTAGATGCCACGTCATAATTCATTTTTTGGCAAAATATACTTGCATAGCCAAAACTTTCACTCTTTTTACAGTTATAGCCACAACTATTATGTTTGTGACAATTATCGCCTCAACTTTGTTGAAATCCACGACCTAGAGAAAATTTTGATAGTTGTTAGACAAATCTAGCCATTTATGTTACAAACTTTTGAAATACGCGAAGCATTCGTGACCTTGTCCTCGATTTCTTCTCAGGACTATGTTTGAGAGGAAGGCGACGAATCGCACCAATTGACTCCGCCGAATCAGGCTTCATCGAAACAAGAATAAAAGCATATACGATGATTTTGAGGAATTTGAAGGGGGGGGGGGGGGGAATGCACTACGAGTCATCACTTCCTTCCTTCTCGACCCATCGGTCTCTGTCGCCACTGGAGTCACCATCTTCTCTTTCACCTCCCTCGACGATGCCTTCTTTTTCGAGGCCGCCATCGGCTCTTCTCAACAGCCTTCTTTCCCTCTTTTCTCGCCATTTTTCTCCGATATCCACCAAGCTTCCGAGACCTTCTTCAGTCTAGCGATTGGGGATTTGAATTGGAGATTTGGGAAATAAGGTCTTCTTCTCCAGTCATATTTTTAAGAGACACCGTTAAAAGGATGGGCAAAAGTGGCTATTTCGTGTATTTTAAAAGTTGCAGCTATAACTGTCACAAAAGTGAAAGTTGTGGCTATAATTTTCACAAATGTGAAAGTTGTGGCTATGGAAGTATATCTTATTTTTGTTGTTAATCCACGTGGATTGGTGACTCATCATTTCCGTCAGTCCAGTCATATTGTTAAGTGACACCGTTAATTAGATTGACGAAAGTGGATATTTTGTGTATTCCGAAAGTTGTGGCTATAACTGTCACAAACGTAAAAGTTGTGGCTATAAAAGTGTATTTTGAAAAAAAAAAACAAATACAAATAAATATGTTCACTTGTTCTTTCGTTTTCGTTTTCGTTTGATAAAAGGAAATGGCACAAATTGGAAAGCTGTGAGGAAACGATAAATACTCATTTCTTCTAAATAATGGGACACTGGGTTCCAATCCGCCCAGACCCATCTTTTTTTCTCTTCTGATTTGCGACCTCCACACGCTCGCTGACATGGTTGTCGTTTTGGACTTTGGAGTCCTAATTCCATTCTCTACTCCCTCCATAGAAGAATCCATCCCCTCCATCGATCAAAGTGGCCGCTCTCCCAAGTCCAGCGAAGAACTTTTTCTTTGCCTCCTCCAGCCGGCGATGAGGTCCATCCCGCCTCCTCCTCCTCCAGCTAGCGACCGAGAACAGCGGCCTCCTCCACTAGGCAACGATGAGCTCCAGTCGTCCAGCAGGCGCATCTTCCTCCTACCGCGATCCAACTCCAGCCTGCCTCCTCCTCCTCCAGCTGCCGACCGAGAATGCAGCGATAAATTACATCAAAGCTTTGTTAAATGGTAATTTGCAATAGTAAATTATCAATACTAAACTATGGCCCATTACCATCAACTCAAGGAGACAAATGCATTACCATTTTGGTTGGAATAATTATCAAATATTATTGAAGCCATCCATTTGACATCATGAGAAGAAAGCATAACTACCAATAATGTTATGCATTATCAAGTGAATGTGGAGACATAAAATTGAAGATGATGAGCAAGTTGAAGAGTGGATATACGGTTATTTATTGGATGGGCCAAGCTCATTGTCACTTTCCTCAACTAATTTGATCTACGTAAATGCATGGAAGATAAGAGGGAGCAAGCCATGTGTTGTTGCATTATATGTTTGTATTTCATTTCAATATATATATGTGTGTATGGAAAGAAGATGCAAGTGTCAGAGAAGTAAAAAGAAAGAAAGGAAAGAAAGAAAGTCCCATGGTATCTGTATCTTTCTTTTTTGTGAGTTAAACACATAAGCCAAAAAGTGTAAGGCTATGTTTGTTTGAGTGTTTTCTAAAAGTGAGTGATTAAACACCAAAAGTTTCTTTTGTGTTGATCCTAATTTCTACCACAATTCTGCTAATCCCCAACAAGCTTTCGCCCTCACATACTCCTTCTCACCTGCGCCACTTTCCGAGTCAAAGCTTCTTCCTCCGACCCCTCATCACCTTCCCCAGACCTCTTTCTCTCTTGCATGGTAGGTTGTTTGAACTAGATAGTAATGGCGGAATTGTAGAAATTCGTGGGGTCAATTTCTATGTCCTGGTTTCAATTCATGCGGGACTTGTCTGTTGCAAATTGTGGGGTTTTAATGAACTATGTGATATTCTAAACTTGCCCATATTGAAGCTTGCACGTATGATCATTTTGATAACGTTGATGGTAGTTACAGTAAGTTCCCTATTCTTTCTCTGCTCCATCGATGAAGTATTATGGTGATTTGTTTCTGCAGGCAAAGGCGGCGTTGAGAATTTGGTAATCATAGGTTCAGGTCATGCTGGATACACTGCAATAATTTATGCAGCTCACTATATATGAATGCAGTTTTATGAGTGAGATATTGGATTGAGGTGACATTGACTATGAATGCAGTTTTAGGAGTTGAGTTTAATTGAAGTGGGACATTGGATTTCTTGACCAAGTAACAAAACAATGTGAGTTGGAATTTAGAGACAAGGGAAGAGCTGGACTTAAGATCCAAAGCTCAGTGAAGAACTTCCAGTTGACATTAGATGTACAATAAGGAAACAATTTGAAAAAGAGTTTTCTCTAGCAGTGATTGCTTAATCTTGTGATTGGTCTGGTCATGCTATGTGATGATTTACTTCACGGGCAAGGTCTCTGGTTCAAATCCATGATGGCCCAGTTGGGCCAAAGAAAAGAACAGAAGAAGCATCTGGCTCCTTCATGCATGTTCCACTTGGCTCGGGGGATATAGCTAAGTTGGTAGAGCTTCGCTCTTGCAATTGGGTTTTTGCAATTATGGGTTGGACGTCGAGGAAAATGGGGATCAGATAATTTTGCAGCTTGGAAGAGTAGGCAAATCCAAGTTTGTGTTGGATTTCAGGTAACTTCAAGGCAGCGGAAGCGTAATCTCAGCTTAAAAAGGCGGCTTTTCGTTTACTAATCTCCTCAGGTTGTTAAAGCTCTAATGGGCAGTCGATTATTGGAGCAGCTCAGACCATTGTCAGGCTTCAGATTAGTATCCAAAAAGTAACTAGTCTTACCACTTGAGAGAGTGACGGGGAGAGAAGGAAAGGAAATGGTAAGTGTGTCATGGGTAAGTAGTTTTTTTTATGTGAGTTTCTAATAAATTTATGTAAGGTTATTTTCATTTCAGTTATTAAATTTTTAAAGTACTACCTTAGTGGTGTATATTTAAAAATATATAAACTGCTCAAACAAGTTGGAGATCCATCAAACTATTAAACCTGAAACCACTTGTTATTGACCGGCTCGACGATTTCAACCGGTTTGATAACCTTGATGTTTGGCTTATTAATTAGTTGTCATTGTTAGATCATTCAACCTTAGCTAATTAACAAACTTGTCGGTGGTCTATCAAACCATACTTCCGCTACATTCAATCTAGTATCAATATGTATCACATTATGCGCTACTTCATTTGCACTTATGCTCACATGCTAGTATCTGCCATCTCCTATCTCATATAGCTCATCAATGTTAAGCAATCCATTTCAAGGATCGGGGAACCCAATTGATGTTGAAAAACTAGATGCAAACCAAACTCCCCCGCCAAATGATGGCAATGTAGTATATCGCAAAGTAATACATCCTATAACATTATGATCATGTTCCACGAGATCTTCTAATGGAAACTACTTTGTAACTAAACATCCTATGCTTGAATTACAATGCAATGAAGGTAAATCGGTGGGTTGAGGTTCCTTACTTTTAGTTGGTGTCGTCAATGGTATGCATTTATTCATATTGTTATCTATGTTATTCGATTCTTGTTCATTAGATGCCTTAGTTATGTGATGCTTATACCATTGGATGCATATGTCATATGATGCTCATGATATTCGAATGTCTTAGTTATATGATGCTTTAATCATGCGATACCTTCATCATCTATTATGTTCTATTATAGTGTTACTTATAATATCATTGTATGTACATGGTAAACCCAACTTATGTGATATGTCATTGTCTTAGGCGTGTATGGAATGGATTGATCACCCATCTTTACTCGACTATGTGCAAATGCAATGTTTGATATCGTAGAATTTGATAATGAGGAACCGAAAGAACGCAAGAGACACCGGATTTTATGGGGTATCCTCGATCGATTGATTGACCGAGACTAATCCAAGGTGAGTTAGGAAGAGCTAACGAATGACGTTTTAGTGAACGGCTACATTTTGACGGCTTGCTTACGACATGTTCGTAGCTAAGTCTTATATAGAAACCAACTAGGGTTAAAAGCCTAATGAGAAGAGTCGAGTACGACCAAGTATCTGTACCTAGAGCAACTCGGACAAGGTCCAACGAGGCCCATGACTGACACGGTTTATTAACCGCAACACTCCCCCTCAGTCGAAGATATGAATGACAAGAATGTCGAGGTGAATGGAAAATGTGAAAAACAAGCATGACGAGCTTGTACAACAAAACACAAGATGAATGACATCTCGGACGAGGTTGATTTGGATACGACTAGCTCTCTCTCTGGACATCCTGATGAAGATGATTGACTGCGGCTTCTTGAACGTCGTAACGGAGACGGTTGACTACGCCTTTTTATCTCACTGACGGAGACGATTGACTGCGTCTCTTGA